GTCTATCTATCTATCTATCTATCTATCTATCTATCTATCTATCTATCTATCTATCTATCTATCTATCTATCTATCTATCTATCTATCTATCTATCTATCTATCTATCTATCTATCTATCTATCTATCTATCTATCTATCTATCTATCTATCTATCTATCTATCTATCTATCTATCTATCTATCTATCTATCTATCTATCTATCTATCTATCTATCTATCTATCTATCTATCTATCTATCTATCTATCTATCTATCTATCTATCTATCTATCTATCTATCTATCTATCTATCTATCTATCTATCTATCTATCTATCTATCTATCTATCTATCTATCTATCTATCTATCTATCTATCTATCTATCTATCTATCTATCTATCTATCTATCTATCTATCTATCTATCTATCTATCTATCTATCTATCTATCTATCTATCTATCTATCTATCTATCTATCTATCTATCTATCTATCTATCTATCTATCTATCTATCTATCTATCTATCTATCTATCTATCTATCTATCTATCTATCTATCTATCTATCTATCTATCTATCTATCTATCTATCTATCTATCTATCTATCTATCTATCTATCTATCTATCTATCTATCTATCTATCTATCTATCTATCTATCTATCTATCTATCTATCTATCTATCTATCTATCTATCTATCTATCTATCTATCTATCTATCTATCTATCTATCTATCTATCTATCTATCTATCTATCTATCTATCTATCTATCTATCTATCTATCTATCTATCTATCTATCTATCTATCTATCTATCTATCTATCTATCTATCTATCTATCTATTCTATCTATCTATCTATCTATCTATCTATCTATCTATCTATCTATCTATCTATCTATCTATCTATCTATCTATCTATCTATCTATCTATCTATCTATCTATCTATCTATCTATCTATCTATCTATCTATCTATCTATCTATCTATCTATCTATCTATCTATCTATCTATCTATCTATCTATCTATCTATCTATCTATCTATCTATCTATCTATCTATCTATCTATCTATCTATCTATCTATCTATCTATCTATTTTAATGATCAGTCTATCTATCTATCTATTTTAATGATCAGTCTATCTATCTATCTATCTATTTTAATGATCAGTCTATCTATCTATCTATTATTTAATGATCAGTCTATCTATCTATCTATCTATTTTAATGATCAGTCTATCTATCTATCTATCTATTTTAATGATCAGTCTATCTATCTATCTATTTTAATGATCAGTCTATCTATCTATCTATCTATTTTAATGATCAGTCTATCTATCTATCTATTTTAATGATCAGTCTATCTATCTATCTATCTATTTTAATGATCAGTCTATCTATCTATCTATTTTAATGATCAGTCTATCTATCTATCTATCTATTTTAATGATCAGTCTATCTATCTATCTATTTTAATGATCAGTCTATCTATCTATCTATTTTAATGATCAGTCTATCTATCTATCTATTTTAATGATCAGTCTATCTATCTATCTATTTTAATGATCAGTCTATCTATCTATCTATCTATTTTAATGATCAGTCTATCTATCTATCTATCTATTATTAATGTCATCTATCTATCTATCTATCTATCTATCTATCTATCTATCTATCTATCTATCTATCTATCTATCTATCTATTAATGATCAGTCTATCTATCTATCTATTTTAATGATCAGTCTATCTATCTATCTATCTATCTTTAATGATCAGTCTATCTATCTATCTATTTTAATGATCAGTCTATCTATCTATCTATTTTAATGATCAGTCTATCTATCTATCTATCTATCTATGTCATCAGTCTATCTATCTATCTATTTTAATGATCAGTCTATCTATCTATCTATTTTAATGATCAGTCTATCTATCTATCTATCTATTTTAATGATCAGTCTATCTATCTATCTATCTATGTCTCTATCTATGATCAGTCTATCTATCTATCTATCTATTTTAATGATCAGTCTATCTATCTATCTATCTATTTTAATGATCAGTCTATCTATCTATCTATTTATGATCAGTCTATCTATCTATCTATTTTAATGATCAGTCTATCTATCTATCTATTTTAATGATCAGTCTATCTATCTATCTATTTTAATGATCAGTCTATCTATCTATCTATTTTAATGATCAGTCTATCTATCTATCTATCTATCTATTTTAATGATCAGTCTATCTATCTATCTATCTATCTATCTATCTATTAATGATCAGTCTATCTATCTATCTATTTTAATGATCAGTCTATCTATCTATCTATTATATCATCTATCTA